GCGGAGAGAGAGGGATAAGAAGAGGATCTTCTTCTTCATTACAAAAGGGGAAAAACCCTTCTCTCCCGGAAAAAAATTCATCTTCCGCACCCTTTCCACTCACCATCATCTTTCTCCTTCACTGGAACATCACAACCCAACCCTTCCTCTTCTTCCGTTGCGCTTCATCTTCTTCGACACACAACACAAACTCTCATTTCTGTCTCCACCCTTGATCATCACAATAACCTCCCTTCTTCACCCATTTTTTCACCGTCTAACCATCGCTTTAACACCACCTTCTCCTCTGATTCATACCCCCGACGACAACCTCTGAATCTCTCTTTCGACCACCCTCCTTATAACCCTCCTTGCCACCGCTCACCATTAACCACTTTCAATTTTCTTCCTCTCATCAACCAACGCGGATCAGCACATTAAGTTTTCAACCTCACCGGTTTCGTTTTTGACAGCCACTCGATTCTCCAGTAGCACGACACGTTCTCAACTGAGCTCTGACGCCCCCAACACCACAAGTTCTGCAACCACTGCGACGAGAGAGCAAAGTGTTTGGAATATGTTCAAGGAAGATGCATCCTTTTCGGATTCGCCATAGTTCGAATTCAATAGCATAACAGCTCAGCAAGATTTGCCATCGGCAATAACAATTCAGTATCCGGTAAAACTTTAGACCGATAATACCTTTCGCGAAATTGAACTTGTTGGAAATTTTGATTTTGTTTTGCTATGATATATAGAGATAGTTCTGATGTCGACACGGTGATGACAACGATCTTGACAATCTCTGCAGCAACGATAGTTAATAACCTCGTTCCACTCGGTGATTTTTGTCTCTCTTTAAAGCTTCAGAATCACTATTTTGAAGGAAAGCACAGTATTTCTTAAGCATACTAGAATTGATATTTTTTGCTCTTATAATTGATATGTATGTTAGATGTTCGATTAAATGCCTCAGAGAAACAAATAGTTAATTATTATGAATGATTATCATATTATGTTAGGACTCAAGTGTTAGTCTAATATTGTCTTTCGTCCTTGTGTTCTCTTTTAAATTTTAATCGACTCTTTTTCTTGATTACTAAGAGAGTTATCTTGATGAACATGAAAAGTGTGAAGGAGCAAGGGAATTGTTTATATTAGTGAAGTAAGATGAAGAGTCAACAAGAAAAGGTAGTTGATATGAAAAAGCTGCCATGATAATATGAGTTATCAAGATTTCAGAGGTCTTAAAAATGATAGAAGAAAGGTGAAGGCAAAGACTGGTTATGTGTTTGTTTGTGGTGTTGGTGATGATGACTCGAGAAAATTTATGGTGTTGATGAGAGAAGCACTTACTGCATTAAGGAAAAAGGCTCGAACAACAACGACTAGTGTTCCATCTCCTTTTGGATCAATCATGAAGGGAGTTTCAAGACCTTTAGTGCAAGAAGTGTGTACCACCTGTGGTAACCATGACTCTTTTGAGCAGACATGGACAATGTTTCCAGAAACTGATCTGTTTGTTGGAATTCCATTTCATGCTGCTCATACTATATTGGAAACAGGTTTTTTTTTATTCCATTCTGCGCTCATGCCTGCTAGCTGATATGAAAGTTAATATTGAGAAAAGAAGTATGAAAAAATATCTGTATATGTATGCTTGTATTAGTTTCTTATTTTTCGTCTACTTCGCCAAAAATGATGATTGGTCATGCTTCTTTATGTGGCTATTCAGTAGTATTTATTTATTTGATAAAATCATGTAATCATTGGAATTTTTTCATTTTTGCTTCAGTGCAATTTTGGAGTACGTGTGAGATTATTTTCATATTTTCAAGGTTATATGCATTAGTTTGGAGTCTGGAATTTATTTGATATCTCTGTCTTAATGCTTTTTAGTCTATAAGCTGATTTCTATTGAAATTCTGTTGGTATACTCTTATGGGTGTGTAGTTACAGATCAAGCTCAGCTGGACTTGAGGCAAAGAAACTACAGAGCACTGTGAAGGAAAAATCACTTATTATATCAGATACAGGTGCTCTTGCAGATAAATTTAGTCCAGGAGTGCTTAAATCACTTGTAACCTTAAATGACAAACCAAAGTAACGTGCTTTATGCCGACTATGGTGTCTTACAGTGTTATTGGAAATAACTTTCTCTAGGCAATTCAGGATGTGGTCGTTAATAGTACTACTATTAACGAGTCTGGAGTATCAAAAACATGATACTTTCTAGCTGTATAATTCATCGTACTATGGTTGTTCAGGATGCAGGTGTTACCATTTTGGGTACCGTACCAAGCTTAGTGAAATCTTGGAAGAGTACTCGATGTATGGAGGGCTTGGATTGGACAAAGATAAAGTAATGACTATTGCGAGTGTAAAGAGTAAAATAGCTACTAAGAAAAATGAACTAAACTTCTGCCCTTGTATGCAGGTTATTTTGTTCCACTGGAGAAACATAAAATGTTGAGGATGATCTATGGCTTTCTTCAAAATCTTATTACAGTCCAATTATTGAACTATGTGGAGGAACGGAGCTTACGTCCAGCTACATTGCGGGAAGCCCCCTGCAGCCTCAAGCTTTTGGAGCATTCAGTACAGCATCAATGACAACTGGCTTTGTCATTCTTGACGAAAATGAAGTTCCTTATGTAAGAATTTTTTCTGGATAATTTAAATTCTTTGGTCATAATTTTATTTATCTGTGTTGAGTCTTCCACTTCTCATCACATTACATTGTGTCAATACATCAGTATAATTTTGTTGTGGCAAAGGTGCTGACTGTGTGCTTACTTATTTCAACTTCCGGACTAGGGAACATAAAGGATATGTTGTCTATGATGTAGACACTAGACACGACACTGGCATCTTCCACAAAGGCACCAATAATAATTTTTAAAAATAAATAAATTGTTTCAATACTTGTTTCTACACAGGTCTAGTTTTTATGCCAGGCCTTTGTTCTCCAATTTTTTCTTGTAACTTTCAGTTCCTATTTCACTCTAAAATTCTTTTGGAACTTCATAGACTTGTGAAATTACCTTCAATAAACTTTCATCATTTTTTCATAGTAGCAGAGTATCTTTGGGTTTATACAATTTATTTATAGGTTTTCTCATTTATTGATTTCTATGACAAATCTGACAGCCAGAAAATGTTCCTTGCGTTGGTGAAGTGGGTTTGTTACCTCTCTCTCTCTTGGAGCATCTGATAGATTGTTGTACGCCGACTATGATGAGTTTTACTTTAAGTGAATGCGCATGTATAAAGGAAAGGTATCTACTACTTCAATTAATATGCTTAGAGTCATTTTCACATTTAGATACAGCTACTTTGATATATCAGTTCTTTCATTCATGAAAGGCAACATATTCTCACCGTGTCCTAACCTTTTAAGGACTGTTTTCATGTGAAATTACCAGATTACACATCGAACATCCAAACTAGTTAGAGTAAAAAGATAGGAAAATCTTCTATTAAGTTTGGATGTTTGACTGTTTGTCTTTAAATGTTGTTAAATCCTATGCAAACTATCAATGTCCAAAAGTGTTGTATATCATTAAGGTATACATTAAGGACTTCAAACAATACCCTCTTTGTAAATTAAATTAGACTAAATTTGTAATTTTGACTCCATTCATTTTGCTATTATTGCTATAACTTGTCAATTGTCATGACTATCTTGATATGGGTATTAGCAGGTTCTTAGGAGTATTTGAGCTTAATATCTCCATTTGAGATGCAAGATATTGTATTGCCTTCATGTGTCTATCATGTATTTGATACTAATGTACATATTTGTATGGTTAGTATTAGGCTTTGTGTGGATTATCTATGTTGATATTTCTGATGCGTGTGAACTTCCTTTCTCTTTTTTCCAAATTTTAGCATGTGAAAGTGTGGGTTTGTATATAACTGTGGATTATCCATGTCCTTGCTTATTAACACTTATGTTTTGGAAATGCAGGATTGTCAAGCATCTTAACGAGTTCCACAGGGCTAAGGCTACTACTTTCTTGAGGGAGTCGCAAAATGCAAATGCTTTTGACAGAGTTCTTTTAAGAGTTTGAACAAAGAAACAACAAGTGTGACTAGAAGAAACATAGATGCACATTAATTGGATTAGAAGTGTGACTGCCTGGATGTAAGAAACATGATATGTGAAGTTTACATTCACCAGACTTGAGCTTCTGCCAGTTTTGATTTTTCTTCCATCATCTGTTTTCTCTTTCAATTTAGCTTAGCTGTTGAACAAATTTATATTAAATCCATTTAATGTCAATATTTTTTTTATATCTAAGTTTGTGTATAATGGTTTTATCAAAATGATTCTTAAAGAATTCATCAGTCCTTGATATTCATGCGTCTCTGGCACTTCTTTGGTAGTTAAGATGCTATTATTTTTTCTAAATTTGATAAATTAGTACTTTGTAAGTGCAATTATAATTTAAACTGTCGTTACATTAACAGTCTGCTACACTGGCATCCCATGTAAAAGCAGTGTTTACTTGCCTGTTAGACAAAGTGAGTAAACTTCACAATTTGTCTGCATTCAGATATTTGATACATTTAGTTGGCAACAACTCATATTTTTAGGGTTATTCTTGATGTATTTTACAGGTTAGTCAATATGTAGTAGAAGGTCTTGAACGGGCTAGAGACGGACTAACTGAAGCAGCTAATTTGAGAGAAAGATTTGTGCTGGGTACAAGTGTCAGCCGTAGGGTAGCTGTTGCAGCTGCATCTACTGTAATTACTTGAATGTTTTATGTGGTTTTTTTCAAGTTCTATGTTGTATTGAATTAAAGGACATTTAGCCAAACATAATGGAGATTTACTCGTTGATATGCAGGCGGAGGCTGCGGCTGCAGCTGGTGAAAGCAGTTTTAGATCTTTCATGGTTGCTGTACAACGTTCAGGAAGCAGCTTACAGTCTTTCAAAAGACATGGGATTCCCGGGGTTTAGAGTCAGTATAATATACTCTTACAACGATACTGTTGTTGATTGCGCGCACAAAATGTTGAGCTTTGGACTAGTTTCAACACAGACACAGTATTTGATGGCGAAAATGCTATCCGATGACGAATTCGTCGATAAATTTCTTGCTGAGAGTGCGAAGAGGTTGGCACAAAGGTACAGAGTTTTCACGGCCGGATTAATCAAAGTCGGAATCAAGTGTTTACAAAGTAACGGTGGACTTTTCGTGTGGATGGACTTAAGAGGACTTCTTAAGAATGCGACATTCAAATCAGAACTCAAACTATGGAGAGTGATTATTCATGAAGTTAAGATCAATGTTTCACCTGGTGTTTCATTTCATTGCTCTGAGCCAGGTTGGTTTAGAGTGTGTTATGCTAACATGGATGATAGAGATGTGCAAATTGCATTGCAAAGGATTAGATCATTGGTGACTCAGAATAACAAAGAGGCTATGGTTTCTGATAAGAATTCCAAACCTTGCTGGCATAGTAATTTGAGGTTGAGCCTTAAATCAAGAAGGTTCGATGATATTATGATGTCACCTCATTCTCCAATTCCTCAGTCACCTTTTATGAAAGCCACTACTTGAATTAATTAGCATGTTTTTATTTTGTTTAATATCATATAGATTATGAAGAAATAACTGATAGAAGATTTTTTGGTTTGTTGATTTGTTATTTTAGGAGCCTAGATAATAGGTCCTTTAAATGTTGGGGCATTTTTTTTCTTTTTTCACTTAGTGAATCACATTGTAGATTAGTCTGAAAATTTAGCTATGTTTATAAAATATTTTCGTTTGAAGTACTCTTAGCCAAATTAATACATAGATACAATTTTATTATGGCAGTGGTATAGATATATATGGTATCTCACACACACACACACATATATATACACCAAAAGAATGATTTTGTGTAAAAAAAAAAATGTACTACAATAGCGTTTTAAAGAGAGAGTGCTATTAATGATACGTATTATAATAGCACTTTTATGGAAAAGTGATATCTAATATGTGTCTTATAATAGCGCTTTGTTTGAAAGTGCTATCAAAATCAAAGCAAATTACCGGTACTATAATAGCGCTTTGTTTGAAAGTGCTATCTAATATGTGTCTTATAATAGCGTTTTTAGAAAAATGCTATTAAATACCAGTACTATAATAGCGCTTTTGAAAAAACGCTATTAATCACCAGTACTATAATAGCGTTTTTAAAGCGCTATCAAAAATTTTGTTTTACAATAGCGACTTGGTTAATAGCGCTTTTAAGCGCTATCAAAAAGCAAAAAAAACGCTATTAAATAGCTTTTTTGTAGTAGTGACATGAGATCTTTAATCTCTATCTACAACCAGGCTTTGTTTCAATTTGATGATTACTAAGTAGTTTACATTGGTGCATCAATGACGGTGAAAAGTAATGAGCGAGAGAAGTTGCAAAATGAAGAAGAGGAGAAGTTGATATAATTGACACAAGTTTGAGAAGAAGGACAAGCTGTATAGACAAAAGCCCCACATCGATTTATGAATAAGTTTTTAAAAGGTATATAAAGCTGAAACAAACAAGTGATAGTAACTTAAGTAGCTTGTAATAATATTTGGGCTTAGTCACATTTAAAAAAATTTAATTATAATATTTATTTTATTTAAAAATTTGATTAATTAATTAATTATAAAAATTAATGATAAATCATAATCGTTAATTTATTTATTGATTAAAATAATATAAATTAATTATTAGAGTGAATTGTCTTGACACACATGTTAAATTGGGTTTTAACGTAAGAAAAAGATCCTTAACAAGATTAGAGGCTTCAAATTTGAATATCGTAAAAAAAAATCCAACATAATCGAGTACAATCATCTACAACAGTTAAAAAAATACTTATAACCAAACATATAAGGGGTCTTAAAAGGACCTCATATCTCCATACAGACTATATCAAAACAATTAGCAAAAGTGTTATTACAAGTATAAAAAGGTGACCTTTTATGTTTGGAAAACAAACAGGTATCAAGAGGTAACACAATTTTATTCAAATCAAGAATGGGACAAATTTTATTAATATGGATTATAGTTTCTCTAGATGGGTGAACTAGTCATCTATGCCAAAAATTGCAATTGCCTTTGCTAAATTGATCACATAAAATAATAATTGAGTATGTACAATCCTTGGATGAGTCTAGTTGCACCAATCTTTTTCAGGGTATGGTGTCCCTATATATAGTGCAATATGTATAATTGACAGTCTAGAGAGGTAGCAAGCTTACGTATGGATATTAGGTTGATGTAAAAATCAGGTATGAAAAAAATATCATGCCGGAAAAGATCATGGTTGATGTGAATGTTGCCTTTAAAATTAACTTGAACGGAGGCTTTATTATGGAGCCTAATGCAAATGGGTTTAATTTCACAAATGTGAGTGAAAAAAAAATCTTGAACGACACACATGATTGGCTGCACATGTATCAAGAATTTAGTTGTCTAAGTGACTATCAAAGGAGTAAAGAGAGTGAGAAGTACTTGAAGAAGTAGTTATGGATGTGTTGATGGTTGGAGTTATAGATATTGAAGCTTGTTGAAGTAAACCCAAAAGCACATATTTCCGTTTAGCCGTGAATGCAAAATGTTCATTGGATTATTTAGGATGCACCATAAGTGCAGAAGTAGAATTATGTATCATATCCTTAGTAGGTGAGCTTTGTGCCAAATTATTACATCTGAGATGAGGAGGAAGACCATGTTTCTTGAAGCAATTTTCCACCATGTGTTCAGGCTTATGGCAATGAGAGCATATTTTGATTCTTCTTCCACGCCCATGAGAGGGTTATTTCAGGTGCAACTCTGAGGATTTCTTTCCAGAATATTGATTTAAGTTGGCAACAATTTTGTCTTCTTTAGGAGGTTAAAGGAGATTTCTCTCTTGTTGGATCAACATAGAAAAGGCTTTGTTTATGTGAGGTAGCAGCATCATCAATAATATTTGGCACCGAACCTGGGATTATTGTTCATTAAGCCCTTTTAAGAAACATATGAGTGAAGAGAGAACCTGGGATTTTGAGTGTTTCAGTTATTATTGGATTCAATGTCCTGGTCTTGTTGGTTATCCTAACATGGAAGAGGGAAGAGAGAAAATTAGGGTTCATGGTTTGATAGAAAAAATGCAAAGAAAGAAGTTGAATGAGGGATACTTTTGTTCGATTGAACCATTTTGATGGTTTTTGGGTGAAGATCAGATGAATATTTGAAGTGTGTATGTTTATGGGTTTTCTGGGTAGATAGTGCATGAAGACTGAAAGGAGGTTGAGGTTTTGGTTTTCTGGGTTAGGGTTTGATGAATATTTAAATGTGTGAAGTTTTATGGGCATTCTGGGTATATCATAAGAATAGAGCTGTAGGTCATCAAAATTAAAGATCTCTCTAAAATTTAAGAAAGGCCTCGAGACCCCAATATTTTAAAAAAGTTGACTCTTTTAAAAAAAATTATTATTTTTAAATGTTTTTTTTTTCAAAAAAAAATGAATTTTGTTTGTTTTTAAAAAAATCACATTTTTAATTTTCGAAAAAAAATCAATTTTTTTTCATTTTCGAAAAAAAAAAGACTATTTTTAACTTAAAAAAACATTATCTTTTATATTTTTAAAAAATCGACTATTTTATTTCAGAATTTTATTTTTAAAATGACATTTTTTATGAAAGTAAACAGTATCGTAAGATGATACAAAACCTTGAGAACTTGTAAACAAAATAAAACATATTTTCTATAACATTATCACGTACAGTATCGTAAGATGATACAAAACCTCTAGACCTCAAGAACTTGTAAACATGTCTATGTTTGCTTTCATTTCGGTCGCTGAGAAATAAAAATGATGTAAATAAATCAGTTGTTCAATAATTTTAAGAAAAACAAATACATTAAGTTAATATAGAGTTTAATCACCCGCATAACATGATTGACATCAGCTTGAGTTGGAAATCTATTGATGTTATATACATGCAACATATGATAACGTGCATTAAATTTCAGCTTGTTATAAATCTGCATTTAAAGTTTGTTATCAGCTTGTTATCATGAATTGAATTTCGTGAATTGAATTTAGTTACCTTTAACCTATGATATCCCAAATTGAATTTCAATGCACAAGAATAATTAATAATAGCTTGTTATCAGCTTAGTTGATTTGTTGTTATTGTTGGATGGATATACTTGATTGTGGTTTTGCTGATGTGGCGTTCTATTTGTTTTATTTTATTTTTTCTGTGAATGCTTTGGGAGAAGTAGAACTTAATGAATTATTTGATTGTGCTTTGACTTTTTTTCCTGTTGAAGTCTCACTTCAAATATTCAACAATAAATTTGAGTGTTTATAAAGCACTTGTTCACACTATAAGAATAAATCTTAACTATTGGTCTGCTATTGTAAAGAACATGGGCTTCAGGTCCAATTATTTTATATTAAAGTTTGTGAAAATTAATTTAAATAAATTTTTTAAAAAAATTAATTAAAATTAATAAAAATATTTAACTATTGAATATAATAATAAAAAATAATTATGCCACCTCAACTGCCATGTCCCTTATTTTTAAAGTCTTTTATCAATATTTGACAGAAAGAACTTGTTTGATCACTAATAAGTTAATTAATGTTTGAACTTAACCTTTCTCATTTGTTTCCTGAAAGTATAATTTTCTATTTTTAGTTATCTCTTTTGAAGATTATTTATTTGAACTCATTCATATATATATATATATATATATATATATATATATATATATATATATATATATATATATATATATATATATATATATATATATATATATATATATATATATATATATATATATATATATATATATATATATATATATATATATATATATATATATATATATATATATTATGTTATAGATTATAGACATAAAACGTCTCGCCAACAATTAAGGAAGATAACATAGTGTGAAGAGTGTCCAAACTGGAAACAATGAAATAAGAAAAATATTATATTTATATAAATAAATACTTTAATACATAAATATTTATTTTGCTAAATGATATCCAATATTAGCATTAATTAATATTTCTGTGTGTTATCACAATGTAAAAAGACTTCATTTGCATTATCAAACTTGTACCGCATCATAATTGGTTTTCAACCTACGCTAAGAAATATTTGAATAATTAATTGACTCATTGTTTGAGATGCTTTCATGGTAATTGTCTTTCTTGAAATGAGCTGTAACATGCATGTACTAAAGCAACAAACAACTCTTATGTCTAGTTTGATAATAAAAAAAAGTTACTCTGAATACATGTACAACATTTTTGTTGATTGTTAGCAAAATTGAATGGAAATGATGCAAGATGGGGTGGAAGCACAAATTCCACCACAAGTTTGTATGAGAAAATCACATACTCTTTGTACTCAACAAATAATAATCAGATAATTATAAAATATATTAAATTTTATAGGTGATTTTTAAATAAGCTAATTCAAAATAAAACAATACTATTTATATGAAATTTTAATGATTTGTGAGATTAATTTATTAATTTATTTTGGATATGTTTGAGAATAAAATTTATAA